CCTCTCGCAGGCAGCGGGCGGGGCGGGGGGGGGACAAGGTTTGGCGAAGGTTACAGCTGAATGCAGAAGTGACACAAACTGACTCTTCATTCCAGCAAACTCCTTTCCATCTTCTCTTCGTGGCGTCTCGATTAAAAGTACGCGTTTATTAAGTCGTGTTATGAAACTTTCGGAAAAGCGAAAGTGCGGTGCTTTTTTTCTGTTTTGTCTTTGTTTTAATTACTCATTGCAGTACCTGATACTGATCTGAAGGGTGAAAACAGTGCGATTTGCTTGTCCTTTCAAAGAAAAGGCATTCCTATATTCCAGTATTTTCTCTATCTAAGTAATCTGGGTTGTAGTTTATAGGCCTGGGATCAGGGGACGCTGTGGTACGGGCAGTTAATTTGCCTCATGCAAACCCTTTTAACTGTTTAGGTTTTTACCCCTCTGTTGCACACCATTTATTAACTCGGTGTTCCTGGTATGAGGTGGGAATTGCAGATCAGATTTGGTTTCTTAGCTGTCAAAAGTGAGCTCGTGATGATTCAGTAGATAATTGTGGAAAAGAAACTACTTCACTGCAGTGCTTAAAATCCAAGTATTGCGGGCTTCTCACAATCCATGGGAGTCTGAAATTGACATTTTTCTTTATTGTTTCAGACAAAAATATGCCTTATAAAAGTAAATGACATGGAACTTGATTGCTACTTGACATGTAACTGTACAGATTTTATTTTGTACTAATCCTCCATCTGCTGTTTCTTGTCAGTATGGATATGCTAAAATGGTAGTGTACAACCCTTCCCTTGCAATCAATAAAGCATATCTTATAGGTATCAAAATCTTCTATTTTGATCATTGAGATATGAGGGGATGGAGGTAACTTGAATAAAATGAATAGTACGCTATGTATTTATAACGCTTTTCATTTTCAAAGACTAAGAATTATAGGGGAAATCCTGATTTGTACACTCCATTGAAAGCATCAGCAGTTTATATCCTCGCCATATTCTGCTTAGCAGATATTCCCACATGTACAGTCACAGAACTTTACCAGTTCGTTTGTTTTGTGCACCGTGGGGGTAATGATTCTTTGAGACTACAGATTCTGCAGATTTGTATTGGTTACAAGACCGTCTAGCTTTTCTGCTCATCAGCAGGGGAATCAGAAGGAAAGGAAGGGGCAAACAGATTTAGATGTGACCCAGGAGGAAAAAATGGAGGCCTCGAACTTCTCTTGTTATCTTAATATGCTGATTTCATGGCCTGCATCCCCCACTGCTTTTGTTGTTGTTGCTATTTGTTACTCTTCCAAGTAAGAGAAATTCCATAGGGGTAAAATGATGTCAGCATTTTCCTTTGCTGTGCATTGTAGCACAAATAGGGACAGAAGAAGATACAGATACTGCTCATAGCTTCATTATTTGTCCTTCTTGAGCATCTTGTTTCTAGGTGAATAGGGGGAATGAAGGAAGCCAAGAAGTTGATTTTATACTTAGCACAGTTGAATTTTCTGCGGAATTGTATTGTTTTTTAGGCATAGTGCTGTAGAGTCAGAATAGACTTTCTTTCTACTTAGCTAGAATCCTAGCAAAACTGTCTATCAGTTTGCTTCTTTAAGCTTTGCGTAAAGAACCATACAGAATTTGTAATGACGGATGTTGAAAGTAGTATATGTTTAAATATTTGCTTTAAAGCCATCTTTATTGTAATGTCTTCAAAATAAGAAATTTGAGCTTTTTTTTTTTTTTTTAAATCTGGGGTTAATCTCTAGTTTGTGAAAGACCCTTATTTCTTGTTATTCCACTGCATCTTGGTTTTCTTCTTTTTTTTCTTAAGACATGCATTTATAGCATAGGTTTCTTACCTGACTGAGGAACTGATAATGTGAAACCCCTAAAATTGTATAATGGCAGTAACAACCAATAGCTAATGACTGAAAGTAATAACTTATTGTTACTCATCTTATTGTAGTAATGTCTGGTAAAGCAGAATGTGATGAAGACAGCAAGACTTAGAATTCCTGTAGGCTAAGAGAGGTAGCAGGAACTATTCTATGTTTCTGCACTGCTAGTGGAGCCTGGAATACAAATGGTCTTCTAGAAGCTATTTAGTATGCTCTGTTTATTGGGATAGCTTCTTCTGTATTGTGGAACAGAGATTGGAATCCTTCATTTTAATCCAAGAACACTGACAGGCTGGTTAGGTAATTTGTAAATGTAATTATAGAAATGAGTTGTGTTGTGTCCATCCTCCAGCCCCAAGACTTTTTTCCAAGTAAAGTCAATTTCATGGTACAAAATAAAAATGTTCAAATGGATATTTGAATGCTCAGTTGCATTTCAATATATAGACAAAAAGAAAATTGGCTGATAGGAGGGAAAAGTATGTTTTTTCATAATTTGGAAACAATTTACCAGATTTTTCTAGGCAGAAATACCAGGTAACTGCAGGACTGTTGGAGGGTTTCAGTAAAAAAAGATCTAGATGAGCTAGTTGTAATATTTTTACTAAACAGCATCTTGTTCTACTTTTTCCAAAAGTTGGTTGGGTGTATTTATAATGGATGCTGAGGGATTGAATGTGTATTTTATTGGGCCATGGTGGTGGTTGGAGGGGTAGGGGGAAGCATTGAGTGGTTTGAACATTCCATACAGATACTATTCTTTCACAAACTTCTTACCAGAAGTTATTTCTTTAGCTTTATGGGAAGGTACTGAATATTTTTAATTGTTAATCTGCTATTTCCTTTATGGTTTCACATGCAAGTGTTTGGATTTACCTGCATAAAAGTTTTCATTAATTATTTCTAAATCATCTAGATTCTGTTCATAACTTAGCTTCTGTACATCCACTCTGGTATCTGTCTTTCCAAGAGATTTATTTCTAAGGCAGTAGTGTGGAAATTTTAATTATAAAGCATTTAAATTCATTTTTCACTGTTGTGATATTATATGTAATAAGTGGATTATATCCTGCTAAATTAGTGCATAGTCTGTGCTCAGGCTTGCTTTAACGATTTTCATTTGTAATATAATTTGGGGAATGTTTAAATATATCTTCATCTTTTTTTTTTTACTGTATTGAGGAGGAAGTTTCAAATATGCAGCCCATGCTAGTTTTAGTTTTGTCTGTAACTTTCTAGGCCTTATTCTAGAAAGGATTGCTTCTGAAAATTTATACTCTGTTCAAAAAGCTAGTTAATAAATAAAAATAAATTGTAATAGGGATGAAATCTGAATAGTTTTGTGTTCTTTTTGTAACTTTTAAAAATCTTCCCCTAGTTACTATTACATTCATGTAAGGAACAAGGTCTGCTGAATAGAATGCTTGGACTAAGGTTGCAGAGACCTGCAGTTTTCCATCAATTCTGTCACTGAGTGAACTCAAGCAAATTGTTTCATCTTAATGTGCCTGTGTTTAAGATGCTGTATGGAAAGGAGGAGCTGTTATGCCTTTTATGTATTATTAAATTGTGTGAGTGTGTGTTTTTTGTTGTTTTTGTGGTTTGGTTGGATGAACTAGCTTGGTTATAGAAGGATTCTGAAGGGAGCCGTAGCTGCATTGCAGAAGAGGTTTTGCGTATATAGACTGTAGAAGAAAGTACAGAGAGATAATAAGAGGGTAAGAGAATAGGGGTAGGTAAAGACCAGCAAAAATAAAGCAAGTTTTCATAGGATTTTACAGTTTTAACATCAGAACAGCAGAGTTGAGCTTGCAAGATACATTCTGCAAGGTTATTCCAGGTAGTGTTAGCTTAGTCAGGACTTAGAGATAATCTTCAGTGGTAAAGTGTGAAAACGTGGTAAAACATACACGGAGTGATGAAGGACATTATTCTGGTCATTTAGCATGTGTCACATGTGCTTTTTAAGAAAATAAAGTGTTTTATTAGCCTAAAGAAAAAAAGCTGCTTGAAGTATCGCTAATGAAGAAATCAGCAATGTGTATTGCTGCCATTGGAAGAGTAATTAATTCTCACTAAATCCTTATGACGCTGTAATCTGTTATTACAAACTTGAAACAAATTTGAAGACTCTGTGGCTGAATGGGAGCGCAACATTAAAACACTGCATTGAATTTAAGATACTGGAGTATCCTGAAAGAAACGGAGCTAGCTTCCAGTGATTTGGCTGATTGAAAACTTTACTTAGGAAACTTCAGGAAAAACTTTTACTGTTTCATGATATTTTAATTCTGCTGGCTGAGGATTTTGAGCTAATGACTGTTACTAATTAGCTAAAGGTTGCTGTTGAGTGACTTCCTGTTCTCCTGGTTCTGTCTTCTGGGGTAGAAGGTCACTCTGCTGCTTCTTTGACTATTGCACTTCACAGTGAAACAGAATTACCGATAGGAATTCTTGTTTTATTGAATTTTTTATAGCTGCTTTGCTGGAAGTCATGTTGAATTGTGTGGGGTGACACAAGAGTTTTAAAATGCTTCTGTAAGCCCAGATATTAGTTTAATTTTCATATTTATATAGCTCATTTTTTCACCGGCTTTTATGAACAGGATATCTTATCAGCTTAAGAGAAACCTCAGAGTTCCAGTTTTTAGTAACTTTGTTCTTGAGTTGTGAAAGAAATGCCTTGGTTAACAGTACAGTAACTTCCTTAAAGAGAAGTAATATAATGCTGACCTGCTGGTTTTGTAAGAGGTTTTCTGGTGGTGATAGTTAAATTTCTATGTTTTAGTAAAATAAGATTTCTAGCCATCATTTGAAGTAGCAAACAGCAAATTTATTATTTTGAGAGCAATATTGACCTGTCCTATCTGTTCATTTTGTAAACTTTTTTTTTAATAAGAAATAGTATTTTTAAGCAAAATACTGAATCATAAAAGTGGAGATATGATATGGCAACAAATAACACCACTGTTTTCATGGAAGAAGCAGAGAAAGTTGTTTTCCTGATGGTCTTAAAACATTAATGGAACAAACAATGCCTATGCAAATACACTCAAGTGCTAAAATTCATATTCTTTAGTGTGAATTGTTACTCTGTTCAAAATTGCAGAGTGTCCTACTTCTGATCTCAATTTCCTAAATATATAGAATTTAATTTACTAACATTTTGGATTAGAAATTGGAGGTAGTACAAGTGCAGGAGTAAAGCATTTGAAACAATTTCCTTTATAAGTCTGCCATATTTTCTTT